CATTATGTTTAGATAACATGTGTTCACATTTTACAGACCAAAATGTTTCATAATTATAATTCTGTTTTTGCTGTATTTGTTAGTGAAGGTCTGAAAGGCTAGACTAGTGTTCTGAAGTCTTGGAGTTCCAGGGTTCCCTCATGAGACCTGACGATCATGACCTCAGCTCAGGTCGTGATCCTGGCTACAGTCTGCAATTATGATCGCACTGATTATAAACATACCCGGGTCTTAAAGATATGAAACATATCTTTGAATTTTCTTTGATGAAATAAATATGTATAGAATATGAGTTCAGCAACATTTTATTTAATTTATGATTAAATATTACATTTTGTCTGGCCTTCAACAAAATTTCATTAAAGTCCTGCCATGTGCTACTAGTGCTAGGATGAGGGTATGAAAGGCAGCTAATCATGAGGCCCATTTATTCAAACCATTATGTGACCTCTTACTCTAATGTAAATGAATCATGATGCTTCTATGTGGTAGAAACAGTAGCCAATTCAAATGATAATGATGTGGTTGATGTAATGGATAGTCTGTATCCTCTGAAAGCATTGTCTGTATGAAAGTCAGAGTGATTTCACACTTAGATAAATCGCTCATGAGAAAAAGTAACATTCTTTTGCAGCTATGCAGATGAGATTCATCAGGCATCACATTTAGCTTTTCCTACACTCAATTTTAAGATTTTTTATTTAGTTGACATACTATAGCATTTTCTTAAAACCTGCGTGCATATTCTATTTTTGTGTATCACATCCATCCGTTTGATGATTACCATTTCATACCTGGAATCGCCTTTCATCCGATCTGTATTCTGATAAGAATGTTGTTTAGGTGACGCTACATGCCATGGTGTATAGCGGTGACTATTTTCTTTGGATCGGTGCCCTTGTTTTGCTGACTTGCTTGTTCGTTTTCTGAGGGAGAGAGATTAAGAGAGAGAGATAGAAAGAGAAAGAGAGAGAAAAGGAGAGAGAGAGAGAGAGAAAGAAAGAGAGAAAGAGAGAGAGAGAGAGAGAGAGAGAGAGAGAGAAAGAGAGAGAGAGAGAGATAATGAGGAAGAGAGAGAGAGAGAGAGAGAGAGTCTGCTTGGAGGGATAAAGTTTTTAAATTGCAGTCGTGCCATCCTAGTCCCTGCATGGTTCCCCTGTATTATTTTGTCTGTTATTGAGCAGATAATGCTTTTCAATGAATTCCCAATCCATAATCTGCATGTGGTTTAGCCACAACTTACACAACGTATACAATTACGAAAATCAAACAAAAATTGTAACTATCCATTATATTGGTCTTTAGGAGTAAGTATGAAAATGGAAGGTCTATTTATTAATTAATAATAGCTTAGTGATAACATGACTGTCCAGATACTGTAGGACATAGGTTCAAATTATGCTTGTCAGATTTTGTTGTTGTCGTGAGACATCATATTTTGTAGGTGGAGCACACTAATCTTTGAAGTAACCCTGGGGAAAAGACTTAAGGTTTTCTTTGAGATGCATTTGTATACTGCTGTGGATATTATGACTCTCCTGTAATGTGGATAGATTTATCATTTAGGTATCTTTACACTATAGAGATGATACTTAGCCTAGTATTATTTTGTCAGTGACATGTATTCATTCCCAATGCACATCCAGGTATCTGGATTATACATTGATCGGTGAACTAGAGTGATGGAGTTCCTATAGTTAAAGTCAGTGCTCATATCAATCAAGGCCTCTAGCCTGTTCTCCAATTATCTCATCTTATCTTCCGTAGTGAATATCCCTCTAGTGGTGTATTCTCTCCCCCCCCCCCCCCCCCCTCTGTCTCTCTCTCTCTCACTCTCTCTTTCTCTCGCTATCTCTCTCTCTCTACCCCCTTCCTCCTGGGCTTTGGGTCATCCATTTTAGTTACATATGATTGCATTGCATCTTATTCTTTTACCGTTTATTCCAATTCTTTATGTCTCCTTCATATGTCATGCCCCTTACTTTACTCATGTATCAATGTACAGTATGTCTGAAGGGTTTTAGTTCCCTTCTCAATAGGCCTGTCTTCACTATCTCGAGATTGCCAAATATCCAGCTATTTGAACTATCCCGATCGCAAACTATCCAGCTAATTTGCGTCTTCATCAGACCGAAGTAGCAATTAGAAGGATATTTGGTCGGGATTGTCATCCCAAGATATCTTGGGATAGTTTGCAAAATATCCCACTAATCTGACAAAATATCCAGCTATTTGTCCCGTTCGTCTTCACTAGACCGAAGATTCGCAATACGCGCTAACGCTGAGCAAAATATCTCGAGTTTCAAGTTTTGTGGTCGATCTTGAGATAGTGAGGACGCGATTTGTGACTTTGGATTATTTCCCATATCAGAAATAGCGGGCTATTTGGCAATCTCGAGATGATGAAGACGCGCCTTATGTTGGATGTTATCAGTAGGTGTTATTGATTCCTGACATATATCTGTCTGTGTATATCCTCATCCTCTATGGAAGATGAAGCTGGCATCTTTCCCAGCATCCCTCCCCAGCATCCCTCCCCATTAGCATCTTGTTGCTAGTCCTTCACATCGATCCATAGCGAGACTTCTCATTTTCATAAATCGAGGCTAGCCAGCTAGCTGGCAAGAAGATGAGCCAGGAGTGTGAGAGTCAGAGAGAGACGGAGAGAGAGAGAATGAGTCCCCCAAACAACGGAGAGCCTCTCGCTCACACTTTGGTAGTGCTCTCTCAGTCTCCTCCTCCTCCTCATCAAGCCGGGCATGAGACGAGAGCATCTCCGGGTCAACTACGCAACATCATTATCTCCGTCTGCTAATGACCGCATCCATCGCGGCAGACTTGATTCATTGACGAACAAACCCCGGCCCGAGCCCCAGATCAGGGCAGCTTGTGTAGCTTTAGCAGCCTATTGAAAATAAACCATAAACAAATATTTCTTATTTGATTATCGTTAAAGTCTGTATAGAAGTTGCTTCGCTTTTGTATTTAGCTTTGCAGCTGGCAGGCAGGCGACCCCCCTGAAATCTCTGGTACCGCATCGGTCTAAACCGTCCACTCTTGCGTCGACTGGTCTGGAAGAAACGTAGTTTTTGCCTTTCGGTCGACTGAGTGGGGTCAAGATTCCGGTATTAGGACCAGAGGAGGGAGAATCGTGCCTACCTCCAGCTGTTCAAGGAGCTATCTGTATGCTGCCAATAGTCAAATAGGAGAAGATTTTATTTCTAGCATCTGTGATGTGCAAGCTTCTGCAAGAGAATCCGAAGAGATTTAGAAAGCTAAATCTTAAGCTTGGTCATTGGGGTCAAGTCCAAAACATCAACCTCAAAGCAGGCTTTGATCTAGTTCTGAACAAAGCGGGTGTGGAGTTGTGACAAGGTGAACTTTGAGAAGTGCGTTAGACAGATACACCTGTATCAAACCAACCCAGACCAACTCGACTGCCACAGGTATTTCTCTTATCTTTTGGAGGCGAAGAAAGAAGAAGAAGTTGGATTTAGCTGAGGGAACAGCTTTTTGAAGGATAGTAAGTTCAGCTCAGCACAGACAGCTGTCGGGTGAAGCTATGACAAAGCAGTTCTAGAGGTCTATCTGACGATATATGACATATGGATTTTTGAAGTATCTGGGACTAGACTGTTCACGATTTACCCATATATATGCCTTAGGACAAACCAGCTTATCCTAGCAAATATTTGGTCGTATTCATTGCTTATGATTAAGCAGTTTCTGGAGGGGAATAGCAATGCTTGGATGATATACTTTCAGCTCTCAGTGATTAAATGTTACGGATCAGGTAACACACCAGTTCAACTGACTGCATTTGGTAAGCAAAAGCATGTTCAGTACCTCTGAATGGTATTTTTATGGTCGACTTTGAATCTAGTTCTTATGAAATTTTCATATTTTTATACTGAGGGCGATGCTAAACGCTTTGAAATAGGGTGTGTGTATGGCATTTTAGGGCAATTATTGTGACAGATATTCTCAAATTGTCCAAGTCATGAGTCACAAAATACAAGGGGATACCGTACTACTCTAACTTTATCTTATATGCTAACATTCAACATTATTACACGTTTCTGAATCTAATGTGATTGTTTTTGCATTCCAGCATCTCCATAGGGGTATGTTAACAGACGAACATAAGTCTTTGATTGACACGACTTGCATGCTGTGTGGTAAAAGGCCATGTGTTGAATACTCAGTGGGAATGATCCTCTAGGTTCGCAGGGAGCTGGGACAAAGAATTTTATATGCTTGCCAGATTTTCAAAAATATTCATGTCTTGAAAAATCACCTCTTGAACCTGCTCATATATATGATATGTACAGTAACTTGCTCAAATTTACAGATGTATAATTTTACAGCACGTTTATTTAGCAACATATGATGTGTCACTGCTCAAAGAGGTTGTTTTTATCTCTATGCTATCATATAATAATAATATATCTGTAAAGTGCTTATCGGTAGACACATCGTTGTATCGATGTATGGGGCGCTATATAAAAGCAGAATATTATCATTATTATTATATACTTGTAACCATGCTGTACTAACTCTTTCATAATCTAAGTACAAGAATTTGTGGAAAGAGTTCTCCTCTTAAAGTCTGAACATATCCAATCATAAAAGATAATCTTTTCAGGAGATTTAGAATTTGTATCCCATATGGAACAGACCTACAGGTCATGCATTCTAACTTTTGCATGTAGTATGAAAGTGAAAGCCTTTTTTAACATGTAATTTGCTACATGCTTCGAAATCACTTGAAGATCTCTGACTCTCTGTTACCCCTGGATCCCGGTGTTGTTGATTGATTTCTCCTGGTTTCTCTTGAAAGCTCTGATCATGTGACGCTGTCCATCATTTTGGATGGTATTGTTTTTAACTGGTCGAAAGTGAAAACTTAAATCCTCAGAAATGATTGGTATGGTATTTGTATCTGCTGTGAATTTGTGATGGAACATAACAAGGATGTCATATGGTGGATGTAACTTTCGAATTGGTTTGTCTTAAAAGATATTTCATGGAAAGGCAATTCATTGCCTTTTCTTGTTTTTTGATTTTGTTGTTGTTGCCCGTGTTTTCAGTTACGTTCATTTTGCGCCAAGAATCTAGAAAGTTTAGATGGGTGGAGTTTACATGCATAGAATTTCCAATTAATAGAAAGAAAGGAAGATGAGAAAGTGATATTGAGGTAGAGAGACAGAGACAGAGAGACAAAGAGACAGACAGAGAGACAATGAGACAGACAGACAGAGAGACAATGAGACAGAGAGACAGAGAGACAGACATACATAGAGAAAGGAAAAGGCAGGGGGTTGGCTCTTCAACTGATGATTACTATTTTGTGTAACAATGATTGCACAGTAACAATCTTCATAAACCTTCAAATCCACTGCATCAATTCTATCATGTTATTTGTATGCAAAACACTAATGGTTTTTGTTCTCTCTCAATATTTTTTTTCTTTGCACGCAATCCAACCTTGATTCTACTATCATCATGGATATCCCCTCACAGGTAAGTAAAAGATTTTCATCAATTTATAGAACATTATCCTAGAGTATGTGAGAGAGAGAGAGAGAGAGAGAGAGAGAGAGAGAGAGAGGAAGAGAGAGAGAGAGAGAGGGTGTTTGTGAAAATGGGTGTTGTAAAAAAAATGTAGCAGTGAATGTGTGCAGCACTGTCACTTTTCTACTCCATCCCTTCAATCATTTGACAAATTCAATACCGGTCACCATGTTCAGCAACTCGATTTAAATCACAGCGCTGTTATAGCCTGGCGTCATGCAATATCCATCGACTGTCTTTCAACCACAAAACCAGCTTGCAGTCACTTAGATTGTGACGTCTGGAAATCATGTGATATTCGTTTACATTTACCTCGTGACTATCTGTAGTCTTCATTAAAGGACGCAGTCAACTATGATATGTTTCCTTTTTCTATTTCACTAGGATTTTTCCTTATCTTTATTTTTTTATTATAAAATCAAGTAGAAAATTCATGCAGTATTCTGTTTTTTACTGCCCAAGGTAAATGTTTGCAAGCTGTGAAAATAGATTTATACACGATTTACACAATTTATTTTCCTTTAACAGCTTAATAACAATATTTCAAATGTGCAGAAGCCAACATGAAATCTGAAACTGAATCTATCTCTGAAGACTCATGTGAACAATGTATGCAGATCTGCCTCATTTGCGTTGCATAAAATCGGTAGCATCCGTCAGTTTCTTACTAAAAAGACCACCCAGAGACTTGTTCAGTCACTGGTCATGTCTCGTATTGACTTTTGCAACAGTCTTCTGTATGGTCTTCCTGATGCACAAATTAACAAATTGCAGAGAGTACAAAATTCAGCTGCTAGACTTATTGCAAAGCGTCGTTCACGTGAGTCCATCACTCCACTGTTGAGGGAGCTTCACATGCTAAGAGTCCGGGAACGAATTGATTTTAAGATCCTCTTGCTGACTTTCCAATGTTTGACAAAAACAGCTCCAGTCTACCTTCAAAGGCTGATATCAGAATACTTACCCTCCCGCAACCTGCGCTCAAACAAGAAATCACTCTTAATAGTTCCTGCCACCAATACCCAGTCTTATGGTTCCCGAACTTTTTATGCAGCATCCCCTCAACTCTGGAACAATTTACCTCAATGTATAAAACAAGCAGATTCAACAGACAAATTCAAATCCATGTTAAAAACCTACTTTTTTGTTAAATAGCCTTTTTCATTTGCATATGCAGCCCCCTCGATTGTCCACTATCTATTATGTATAACTTAATATTTGGCTGTAATTCCTTCTCTTTCTATTTTTCTTAAGCGCTTAGAGACATATTTTGTGATAAGCGCTATACAAATGTTGTTAATTATTATTATTATTATTCCCTCTAAATGTTAACAAACATACGAGAGGGGTGGAATAACTTATAGCTGTTTTTAAATTTTGGAGTTACCTTCAGTTGAGAAATACTTCTGAGAAACAGCTTTTCACAAATTTAATTTCCGTATTCCCATTGGGACTTGAAGGTAGCAATCATCTAGAAGGCGAAATTAGGCCTGACATTTGAGCCTTGGAATCGCAGGAATGTTTTTCATCGGTGACATTTCTTTACCGTCTTCGTGTAATCATAGTAAAACTCAACAAGGGTAGCAGCAATTGAATAGCCTGTAGGCTGGAGTATGCAGTGTCAGAGATGCCAAGATGTAATCACCGATTTAAAGATACAGTCAGAATTCTGCCTGTTTAGTTTGTTTTCTATTGAATCATATCCACAAAACTTAAAACAAATGCTAGTCATTAAATGGTTCAAAATATAATATCTAGTCAAACAAAGTATCCTATATTCCATTAATATATAGCCATTAAAATGAACATTCATTCTTGGTCATTACATTGTATTCTGCAAACTGTTAATAATTATAATAATCTTGGACATTATCAATTGTAACAGGGGTCATAACAAATTTTGTCTTTGGTTTTAGAATTAAAAACAGAATGAATGTCTTCGAAAATGTATTCTGACATTTCAAAGTCCTCTCATCAGAATGAGCAGACAAGCCATTGATTTGATATGTCAGCAGCCATTTTGTGCTGCGCTAGGTCGGAATGCCGCCGACCTTTCTTGCAGATGATATGTACTGTCAAGAGAGTTATTGTTGGAAGGTTGATGGGAGGGGAAGGGAGATGGGAGATGGGAGAGGATGGGAGGAGGGAGGATTGGATGAGAGTGAACATTCCATGGTCAACTTGATGATGATGATGATGATTAGGGAATGAGTTTTAAAGTATTAATTTCGTTTGACATGGCCTGGGTGTCACAGATTGTCTGTGTGTAAGAGATATGATTGAAGTTTAATAGATAGCAGTGGAGGAGAATGACATTGACTAGAAGAAAAGAATATGAATGGCACAGGGAGATATATAGTAAAAGTATACCAGACCAGGGCCCTATCTTACAAAGAGTTGCGATTAATTCCAATCATTCGCAAGTCATCCAATCAATCGCAAGTTAGTAGTATCCTATCTCTTATGTACATAGTTGCGATTGATATCAATCACAAATAAGGCCTAAAAAAAAAATTGATGACTTGGCGTAACGGGTCACTAAAAATTAGGGTAGGTAGGGCGATTTTTTTTTTTTTTTTTTTTTTTGTTGTTTGTTGCAATGACGAACCTTCGTCATTGCCTTGTTTTCGTTCACATTCTGCCCCATTAATATTTTCCTTTTCGTCCTGAAATCCCATTCGTTTTACACGTAGTGCTTGTCATCACTAATTATGCCCTTTTCTCATGTCCGTTTCCTTTCAAATTTCATAGGCATAGTCTCTAACATCTCATCAAGGTCACTACATTCTTCGATTTTCGAAATCACTCATGCATAACCGTCCAGGCGCCATTTTGTCCGTTTCTGGTCCATTTTAAGGCCTTTCTTTCTTCCTTCCCATCTCCACTATCTTAGATCCTACAAACTTCTAACAAATTCCTCTAGATAGTCTAAGAGATGTTCTTTTATCTGCGACGTATAACCTGACCTTCAAAATGCCATCTTCGTACTCAAAATGCAAATCTGAAACCGACTCCGTCAAATATCTCTCAAGTTCTTGAAAAATTGACCCCTAAATAATCTAAAACTGCCATAACTTTCTCATATGAATTTCGTTTTGTATTTAAATCTCACAGTATCTTTATCTCATAATTGCACATCGCCATGCCAAATTTCACGCTACATTGGCTTTGCAAAACATAAATAGCGCCCTCTAAAGTTCTGGGAATTGGCTGTCTTTCTGTGGCCGTATTTCCATTATGGCTTGGCAGACCCGTACCCTTTTTTGGATTTAGATACTTGAAGATATGCCCTTTCCAGCCATATACAACATTATATACCCTAACACTGACCGACTTCGAGAAAAATGCCCTCCAAATTCGCCATTTTCAAGAAAATTCCAAAATAACTTCAACTTGCTCTAAAATGGCGATCTTTATACCTACATCAATGAAACTTGGCACACATATGTATCCATATACGTGACAACTGTCTGCCAAGTTAAATAAATTGTAATGCCCTCGTCGCAAAGTTAACGCCAAAAATGATGAATTTGCTATGCATTACGTAATAGCGCCTTTAATGCGTGTAGTACATTGCGTGCAGATGACAATGGTGTCAAACTGACCGCAATGAAGTGCCCTTTCGAATGATACCAAGTATGGTATATGTTTACACAGAAAATTGTGAGTAAATCGCATTTGAACAAGGGTCGATCACTATACGAATTCCGCCCGATTATAACACTTATCGGCCATGACGTCATTTTTTCAGACTACTTTTCGCCCCCTAAACATCTTTTTTTTTCCTTGAAAATTTGCAATGACATTCCGAGATGCAATACGCAGGGCACCTCGTGGCCGGATTTTTTGAAATTGGTCAAGGGGGCCATTTAAGACGCCATTTTGTCCTTTAAATCTATTTTACATCACATGTTTCGATAGGATTATCATAGAAAAAAAAAGAGTAGTTTACAATAACGACCATGAAATTCTCTTTCCAATGATACCATATACGGCCCATAAAGAGACATAAAGAGAGAGAGAAAAAACAATTTAACTCCGGTCATAATACAGATCCTGTATGTTTTCCGCCCATGCATTACACGCATTGTCTATGGGGCAAATCGGGTTCACGCTTTTGACCCCTAGAACGATCTTGATTGCAATGACGCCGCATGCAACTAATCCCATTTGTTTTTGCACGCAGTGCTTGCGAGCCCTTTCTAGGTTCTTTCCCCTATCCCAATTTCTTTCAAACATCGTAGGCATAGTCACTACCATCCCATCAAGGTCACTGTTGAGGCCTTTCTTTCGCCCTACCTGTCTCCAATATTACAGAAGCTAAAGACTTCGTACAAATTGCTCTGGATAGTCCGAGAGAAGCTCTTTCGTTCGACACGTAGAAACACGGCGTCATTGCACGCACATCGTTGTTACACGATTGCATTTCTAGTTTGTTGTTGTTGTTGTTGCTTATATTTGCATACATGAAATTAGCCATTCATACACATACATACATACAGTGGCGTAGATAGGTCCTCAGACCTTGGGGATGATCTGATGAGAGGGGTAGACCACAATATGTTCAAATAACTCCATGCACACACACACACATATATGGACACACACATATATGGACACACACACTGTGTGAGCAAAGTGAGCAAGAAATTGTTGAAATCTTGATCACCTTGGGACCTGGGGGATGCATACATACACCTGCCCCCCCCCCCCTGCATACATACATGTACATGTACATACACCCTCATGCACATAGTGCAAACATTACGAACGCATTAATAGGTTTCCAACGTACAGACCCCAGTCTGAGATATCTCAGACACTGTCTTCAACAGGATAAACAGGCTGGCCATTCAAATCTTTGATACAGAAAAAAATTAAAAAGCGTAGGGTCGGCGATAAAAATAGGGTCGGGCGGGTTACGCCAAGTCATCAATTTTTTTTTTTAGGCCTAAGTTGCGATTAATATCAACTCTTTGTAAGACGGGGCCCAGATAGGATGTCATATGCACTGACTGAGACCAAACTATGGTAATGTAGGATGGTCATAAGGGTAGTAAGGAGAGAGAGAGGCTCTGTACTTTATCTTGGATGGTGCATCCATCTTGATGTATCTGAATCAGGACTCCAAAGAATTTTGAGAAGTTTGAATTACCTGTATCACTTCTACGACCGATGTGATCATTCTCATGTCACATCTCGGTTTATTCTCAGCTCAGCAATGCGTAGGGGGGCCAGGAGGGGGTAGGGCGGGTGGGATAGAGGGATGGTTAGCCTAGCCGTGTGCCCAGCAACGACAGCTATAAACCATTGAGCTGCGCATGGCTCAAGAGCCTGCGTTTGTATTTGGACTTCAGGCCAGTCTAAACATGACATTAATCTTCAGTAGATGACGACATACCGCACCTTGGCTTACCCTCAAGTTTCGCCAGCTTCCATTTTCCTCCATCTTTCTTTATTCTATCGCTGGAGAACATCAAGATTATACAAATACCAAACCTCTGACAGTGCCAGAGTGCAAGAAGTTACCATATATGGATGGACGCAGGATATTTGTATTCTTTCAGTGATTTTGATGAAGAACATTGCATGTTATCATTATGCAACATTGATGTGCTTTTTAAAGTTAGATCTTTAGATCTGTACTATTTAGTTTTACATTTCTGTTCTGACATCAATATCTTAGATTGTTTTGCTGGATGTGATTTGAGACAGCTTCCAGAATGTTTTTATTTGTCTATATATACAAGTCATGTACCGGTAGTCACTTTATTTATAAGAATGAGGGTACTTAATTGAATATGCCTTCATGTTCTTAGAAATCTGCTCGATAATAGATGCTTACAAATTACTTTTGTAATCATGGCAGCAATTCCCCACAGATTTTTATTTTTTTTAAGGTAAGACCGAAATGACAAAATTTGCTGTCAGATGTTTAAACATAGCATGTCATGAAAGTCGATCAGTGGGACTGCATTATTCATCTTCATGTATTTTTCAGAATCTTTTTTGCTTTCCCTTTAACACTGGAACCAGATACAGCCATGCATTCTAATTCAAATTTATTAGCATCCTGATTTCTTGGAGGGGGGGGGGGGGTTATTTGTACTGAGAGAAATGTAGGAGAGAACTGAATTTTGATGGATTGTGTGTGTCTAATAGATGTGGAGTCATGGTTGATTTAAGGCTCATCTGTCTACCATTAAGCTGTAGTGTTTAGCATTCAGAATCGGGGATCTCACATAATGGATTTCTACCGGCACACATCATTCATTGATTCATAGATGGGAGATTACAAAAATTGAAATGAAAAGTAAGATAGTATCTGCCTTCACGAAGCTCATAAAATCTACTCACTACCAAACAAGTCGCTATGATAATACCTCCTTTGAATTGTTGCTGAGAGGCATCAAACTTGTTTAATATTCATAAATTCATAATTGTTGGCATTTTGAATTTCAATTTCAATTCAATTTCAATTTCAATTTTTTTTTCCAACATATTATTACAAATAAATTATAAACATTTACAACAATTTAGGAATACATATAGGATAGATAATAGGATTTGCAAGGTAATTTTCTGCCATTTTGCTCTAAGAAACAATGTTCAAGAGACAAGACTCTATGTTAAACTAACAAGTCGGCCATAAGTAATGTAAAACAGTCTGCTATACATTGTTAAAAACTTGAGATACATTATGGGTGGGCAGATAGATGACTCAGATAGATTAGTTTCTTCTGGCAGATCATCAGAGACCCGGTGCATCCTTCATTCAGAGCCAGAAGGGCACAACTCTGTCATAATCATGTAAGCCAACCTCCTTCTGGCCCTCATGAGATGATATATAGGAATGCTCTTAGGAGCGCCTTAGACTGTCCTCTTTAATTGGATCATGTTATGATATCATCACCTTTTATCTCGTCACCACGCCGGTCTAGCGATGAAAGCATTTGTTCTTGATGATCGGGTATATGCCATCTAAGGGAAGACGGTGATAAATGTGCAATAGGATTAAGGTTGAGCATCTGGACGAGTTTTCCAAGAAGCCGTTGGCTGTATATATATCTTAATTCTGTATATTTTGGAGAATTTGTAATCTCCTTTATCTAATCTGACAGTGTTTGGTGGTAATATTGAATGTTTATATTTCACTTGATTGACTAAGTGATTGTGGTGTCCTGAACAGGGTGCTAGCTATCATCTTCATTTCTTGTAAGTTCTAGCTAAGGTTGGTCACCAGCTTAGGTTTAATATCTTATATTAGTAAAAGTGTTATTACTTTATATCCAATTTCCCCCTGCTTCTGTGAAAATCACCCACTCTCTCTGTCTTTCAGTCATTCTCTATCTCTCTCTCTCTCTCTCTCTCCCCCTCTCTCTCTCTCTCCCTCTCTCTCTCTCTCCCTCTCTCTCTCTCTCTATCTCCCTCTATCTCCCTCTCTCTCTCTCTTTCTCTTTCTCTTTCTCTTTCTCTTTCTCTTTCTCCTTCTCTCTTTTCCCCCTCTCTCTCTCTCTCTCTACCTCTACATTCACTTTACTACTACAAACTATCTTGCTCTTGAAAAGGGTCAAGTTATCAGCAGTAGATAGGGACATAGTCCAGGGGGTGTTTCACAAAACTTGTCATCAGTGACAAATGACAGTTGTTGTTATAAGCTACTGAAATCCTTGCTTCTGATTGGTTATCGGCAGATTTGTCACTGATATTTGTCATTTGTCATTGAAAAAAGGCTTTGTGAAACGGGTCCCAGAAGTGTAAGACAAATGCTAAAGATCATACATGATACATTTTGATAACTGAATTGTCCTTTTAATGGTCCTTAATATATTTTCTTCACCTCCTCTCCCATTGTTACGCCAAGATATGCATGTGTGTATGCATACGTTTCTTTGTACACAATATTACATATCCCTCTTCTCACTTCACTTCTCCCCTTCCCCTCCCCTCCTGATCCTCCCCTTCCTCTCTCCCCCTTGCCCCTCCCATCTTGTTCTGGCCTACTGCCAACTTTCTACACGCTGTTATCTCAGATTTCCAAATTGTTAGGAGAGGGAAGGAAACGTCATTGGTGGATCAAGTCGGGGATACAGGAGACATGCCCCCCTTCTGTTTTTTTTTTGTGGCTAACTCCTGCACCGGCTCCCCGCAAGAAGGCCTTTACTGCCATTGACAATACATAGATCACACTGCCTTCTTGCATGCGCAGAGCTGACGGTGTATAATGTTTGACACATCAGGCACTATCCCCTCCACTGCCTGTCCCATTAGCATGTAGATGATGAGTGACAGGGTTCTCTCATGCTCATCTTCATTATAAGGTGTGATCATTATCATTCCTTCCATTCCTCCTAGAGAATCACGGTGCATGGTATTGACCCATTCTTTGACCTCTAAC